AGATGGAATCTTGCTCTGTTGCCCAGGCTGGAATGCAGTGGCATGATTTCGGTTCACTGCAGCCTCTGCCTCAGCCTCCCGAGTAGCTGAGATTACAGGCGCCTGCCACCATGCCTGGCTACTTTTTGTATTTTTAGTAGCAATGGGGTTTCATCATGTTGGCCAGGCAGGCCTCGAACACCTGACCTCAAATGATCCACCTGCTTGGCCTCCCAAAGTGTTGGGATTACAGGCGTGAGCCACCGCACCCAGCCTACTTTTTACTTCTATGAAATCAATTTCTTTAGTGTCCACATGAGTGAGAACATGTGTGTTTAATTTTCCATAAATAAGTTTAATTTATTTCACTTAAGATAATGTCCTCTAGTTCTATCCATATTGCTGTGAATAGGGAATTTCATCCTTTTATGTGTGAATAGGGAATTTCATTCTTTTGTGTGTGTGTGTGTGTGTGTGTGTGTGTGTGTGTGTGTGATGGGGTCTTGCTTTGTCTCCCAGACTGGAGTGCAGTGGCACGATCTCAGCTCACTGCAACTGCCACCTCCCAGGTTCAAGCGATTCTCCTTCCTTAGTCTTCCGAGTAGCTGGTATTACAGGCGCCCACCAACATACCTGGCTACTTTTTGTAATTTTAGCAGAGATGGGGTTTGGCCATGTTGGCCAGCTGGTCTTGAACTCCTGACCTCAGGTGATCCACTCACCTCGACCTCCCAGAGTGCTGGGATTACAGGTGTGAGCCACCACATCCAGTCCCCAAGAATTTCATTCTTTTTAATGGCTGAATAAGTGTATACACACCACATTTTCTTTATCCATTCATCTGTTGTGAGACACCAAGTTTGATTCCATATCTTGGCTGTTGTCAGTAGTGCTGCAGTAAACATGGGAGTGCAGATATCTCTTTGATGTATTATTTCCTTTTCTTTGGATAAGTGCCTAGTAGTGGATAGTTCTATTTGTAGTTCTTTGAAGAACCTTTATACTGTTCAGCTTTGTTTTTGTTTGTTTGTTTTTTGTTTTGAGATAGTTTTGCTCTGTCACCCAAGCTGGTGTGCAGTGGCATGATCTTGGCTCACTGCAGCCTTGACTTCCTGGGTTCAGGCGATCCTCCTGCCTCAGCCTTCCAAGTAGCTGGAACTAGTAGCAGGTGGCACATGCCACCATGCCCAGCTAATTTTTGTAATTTTAGCAGAAACAGGGTTTCGCCATGTTGACCAGGCTAGTCTTGAACTCCTGACCTCAAGTGATCCACCTGCCTTGGCCTCCCAAAGTGCTGGGATTACAGGAGTGAGCCGCTGCACCTGGCCTATACTGTTCTTTATAGTGGCTATACTGGTTCACATTTCTAAACAACATGCAAGAGACCCCTTTTTGCTGCATGCTCACCAGCATTTGTCATTTTTTTTGTCTGTTTGATAATAGCCATCTGAAGTGGGGTAAGAGGATACCTCACCCCAATTCTGATTTGCATTTCCTTGATGATTAGTGATGTTCAGCATCTTTTCATACGTTTGTTACCCATTTGTGTGTCTTCTTTTGAGAAATGTCTGTTCAGATCATTTGCCCATTTTGAAATTGAATTGTTTGAATTTTTTTCTGTTGAGATGTTTGTTTCTTTTTTTTTTTTTTTTTTTTTTTTTTTTTTTTTTTTTTTTTTTTTTTTGAGTCGGAGTTTCGCTCTTGTTACCCAGGCTGGAGTGCAATGGCGCGATCTCGGCTCACCGCAACCTCCGCCTCCCGGGTTCAGGCAATTCTCCTGCCTCAGCCTCCTGAGTAGCTGGGATTACAGGCACGTGCCGCCATGCCCAGCTAATTTTTTTTGTATTTTTAGTAGAGACGGGGTTTCACTATGTTGACCAGGATGGTCTCGATCTCTTGACCTCGTGATCCACCCCCCTCGGCCTCCCAAAGTGCTGGGATTACAAGCGTGAGCCACCGCGCCCGGCCCGAGATGTTTGTTTCTTATACGTTCTGGATGTTAATTCCTTGTTGGTTGAATAGTTTGCAGATACTTTCTCCCATTCCGTAGGTTGTTTTTTTGTGCTGTTGGTTGTTCCTTTGCTGTGCAGAAGCTTTTAGTTTGATATAATCCCATTTATTTGTTAATTTTTACTTGTATTATCTGTACTTTTCAGTTTTTAACTCATAAAATCTTTCCCCACATCAGTGTCCCCTGTGTTTTCTTCTAGTAGTTTTATAGTTTCCAGCCTTACAATTAGGTCTTTGATCTATTTTAAGTTAATTTCATATGGGGTGAAAGGTAAGGGTCTAGTTTCATTCTTCTGCCTGTGGCTATCCAGTTTCTTAGCACCTAAATTGAAATTCCTAGTCCAACTTTTTTTTCTTACATTTTCATAAGGTGAAAAGAGAAAGCTTCATTTTTTACATTAATGTGTGATTAGATTTACTTAGTAATGAATGTGATTTTTTTCCTTCCAGAAGAGAAAATATGATTTTTATTAACTAAGTTAATATTTCGAGTGTTTTTTTTTCTTTCTACAGCAAGTGAAGTATTTCTGGAGAAGAATACAAAATCTCTACTTTTATTACTGGCAGGTGGAATGTAGTCATGTATCATAATCATGTATTATAAGAATGAACACTTATGAATAATAATTTGTTTCTCCAGTGCTGACCATATACTAAGAATGATACTTAGTATGTTGCATGCTTTGTATCATTTGATCCTTCCAGCATCCTGATGATAACATAGCTACTCTTATTATCCCTATTTTACAGATGAGGAAACTGAGATTCAAATAGGTTAAATGATTTGTTCAAGGTAACACATTAAGTGGCAGATTTTGGACTTGAACAACGTCTGGCACCTCCAGCATTTATGTATCTTGTCATTCACTGGTAAAGGAGAGAGTATTTCTGGACTTTTTCAGTAGCTGATATCTGAGCCGTTCGATCAGCCGTCTTGGTTGCTGGAAGTGAGGAGGATGGGTGAGACTCCATCAGCTCTCTCAGATCCTCACTTGGCAAAATAGATTCAGTTTCATAATAGACTAGATGGTGTTGTAATATATAAATCCTACCATTGGAACTTTTGTTTATAGACTGTTAGAGAGTATTGTGTAATTCCCTCCTTCCATTTTCTCACTGACTCTGAAAAGACCTGTAAGCCATGATTATTATACTATTTAGTGTGATTGGAAGCACCACATGGTACAGAACACTGAACTGAATAATGTAAGTGTGGTCAGGTGACTAGTCTTTGTGTCTGAGAAGTTTATAAAGATTGGGATGGGATTAGGTGTGGGGAAGTATTATAAGGGAAAGAACATTTTTAATGGCAGAAATTTGCTTTATTTTGTGTTTCATAGAAACATTTATAAATTGCCAAATATTTTACTATCATATAAAAAAAGAATTTCTGAGAGAAGCTTTAGGTCTACCATTCTGTTGGCATTGTAAAGGGCTGTGGGTTCTGAAAATAAGTATAGCATGCAAACACCAGTAATGAAAAAGAGACCTGCTACCTGTGACATTCATTTGGTGGAAGAGTTCTGCTGCTTTGAGGTATTTATAAAACTTAACCAGAGCAAATGTTATTTAGTTCAATTTTGGGGGATAAGGTAATTAAATTTTTTTTTTTTTTTTTTTTTTTTTTTTTTTTTAAATTTTTTTTTTTTTTTTTTTTGAGACAGAGTCTTGTTCTCTCACTCAGGCTGGTGTGCAGGGGTGTGATCTTGGCTCATGGCAACCTCCACCTCCTGGGTTCAAGTGATTCTCCTGTCTCAGCCTCCCACGTAGCTGAAATTGCAGACACCTGCCACCATGCCTGGCTAATTTTTGTATTTTTAGTAGAGACGGGGTTTCGGCATGCTGTCCAGGCTGGTCTGGTCTCGAGCTCCTGACCTCAGATGATCCGCCTGCCTTGACCTCCCAAAGTGTTGGGATTACAGACATGAGCCACAGTGCCCAGCCAACTTAATGTTTTATAATGTGTCTTATTTTCTTATTTAACCTCATTATCGGAATGTTGATTTACAGTGAAGAACCCATCGCATTAGGAAGGGTGATATTGTAATATTTTGCTTCCTGGGTGAACTAGCTTTGCTTATTTCTGTTTGTTAACTAGGCCTTTTGATATTTTTATAGACAATCTGCTTCATCTTGATTCTGCGGCATTCCAAACTGTGGTATCCTTGGGGGTTCTGTTAACATTGCTATGGTGCAGAAGATTTAAAATCAGGTATGGCTGTGGGGCCAGAAGTCCCTCAGTGAAATTCTCAACCTAAATCTGCGTTATACTCTCTGATTTATCATTTGGGTTTCTTTTTTTGTGGTGGCCTTTTAGCTGATGTTCACAAGGAATAGAGTCACGTGATGTATGAAGGGAAACATATACACTTCTCTGAGGTTGACAATAAGCCCTTGTGCTCATATAGCCCCAAACTGTGCAAGCAGAGGCGACTCAACGGCTACGCCTTCTGTATCAGACACGTTCTGGAGGACAAGACTGCCCCCTTCAAGCAATGTGAATATGTGGCCAAGTATAACAGCCAACGCTGCACCAACCCCATCCCCAAATCAGAGGATCGTAGGTAAGGGCTGATCATGAGAATCAATCCTTGATGTAATTAACAGGCTTGGAACTTTTTCTTTTCTTGTTTTTTCTTCTCTTTTCTTCTCTCTTTCTCTCCTTCATTTTTCCCTCCCTCCCTCCCTTTCCATATTTAAATGTTGAATTCTGGGGGTAATCTAAGTAAACTGTGGAATACATTTAAAGATGAAATATGGCAATTTTAAAAAATAGAATAGTAAATTTGGGGAATTACTTGAAAAGTATGTTTGAGTATCTTCTTCTTTTTAGTCGATTTCATGAACCTCTAGAATTACTAAAAAACATTTGTTTCCCCTCAAAGTTGCTGCTTAAAGTCTTGAAATGGATTTCTTTGGTTTGTGGCCTTATAAAGAATTCCTGACTTCTCTACTTAGTTTTCTCATTTGCCGAAATGAGAGAAATTATAAAAACTAATTAGGTGTTGTAATTATGATGGTAATTTTGGAGTTCAAAATCTATGCCTACATGTTAGTAAAGGATACGTACTTATTGAAAAAAAAATACTACTTGAATCTTTTATATATGCTTTCTGTCAGACTGCTAACCAGTGTTTCTATCAGACTGCTAACTAGTGTTTCTATCAGACTGCTAACCAGTGTTTGGCATGTTTTATAACCTTGCTTTTTTTGGTTAAAAAGTGTTCCAAGGCTGGGCGCGGTGGCTCACACCTGTAATCCCAGCACTTTGGGAGGCCGAGGCGGGTGGATCACGAGGTCAAGAGATTGAGACCATCCCGGTCAAAATGGCGAAACCCCGTCTCTACTAAAAATACAAAACATTAGCTGGGCATGGTGGCACGTGCCTATAATCCCAGCTACTCAGGAGGCTGAGGCAGGAGAATTGCCTGAACCCAGGAGGCGGAGGTTGCGGTGAGCCGAGATTGCGCCATTGCACTCCAGCCTGGATAACAAGAGAGAAACTCCGACTCAAAAAAAAAAAAAAGTGTTCCAAACAGAATATGTTTACCATAATTTGGAAACAGTATTTCACATTAAGGATTGATTTTACCACTGGAATGATGAATATATTCTTTGCTGAATTAAAAGAAAATGAAATTGTTTTTAAAGGAGTCTTACACTGGCTATTTGTCTTCCATATTGCTAGGAAAATTCACACTACTTTTCATATGTGATCTTTTCTCCAGTTTCTTTTACTTCTGTTCCCCAGAAACCATATAGATCATTGCGGGCCTTCATGGAGAGATACATGCTTGTTTTCTAAAAGTTTCTAGATAACTTGTTATCTCTAGGTAGAAAATTTGAACCTTTTACTTCTATCTTAAAACACACACACACAACTTTCATCCATGTTTCTATACATTAGCAAATGTCACTTGCATAAATTGGTTGGAAATAAATCAGATATTTTATGTCTTGAATACTTTTAATGCTTGTAGTATGAAATAAATAATTTGTCTTGGTGGACATCTCACCAAAATGAGTACAAATAGTTTAATGGGGATTTAGGAATACTCTCTTAGAATTTCTAATGAGCACCTAAGGCTTCAAATTAAAATACCTGAAAGTTAGAAACAGCTGCTTAGTGAGGCAAGGAATAAAATTTTAATCTCAGGTGAGAAAGGGACCTATGTATTAGGCTGAATATATCTGTCTGGTTTTTTTACTTTTTTTTTTTTTTTTTT